GCAGAGGAAACAATCATACCAAAGTTCAGCACCTGGTAATAGAGCTGAAACACAGGGAGGGGATATTCAAATTACATTTCTGCTTTCAACCTTTCAAAAAAACAAATGTGCCTATGTATAAGAGCAAGCCCAGGACAAAGTATGAGGGGATATTTCAATCAAAAGCTTGTGATTAAACCCACATTACTGGTGATTCATTAGTAAGCACATCAGGTATTAGACTTTTGATGGGAGTTTCAGGAAAAGTGTGTTAAATAAGGAAAATAGCTAGCTAAACTGAAGACAGAATTAGTCTAAGCTAAGTGTTTATTTGTCTTTAATCCCTGAACATAAAACAGGACAAGTTAGAAGATGCATGTGCATAAAATGCTCCAGAATATAGGCTGCTAAAGAGTGACAGACATGCTACAACACAGAAAAAGCGGTGACGGCTAGTCAGCGTTAGCTCTGTGGTCTCTACCGTACAAAGAGGTTGTCGTAACAACACGATAAACTCACTGACTCGTACATACCTGTCGCTTATTCATGCGCCGAACATCGTCGAGGAAGTCTAAAGACAACATTTTTGTAAATACTACTGGGTAGAAAAAGCACCACAATCACATTAAAACGTTTAAAGTAATGAGCATATGGATGCACGGTCGAGCGGTGAAACTTGCATCCGAATCTTCCGGGTGCTCTCAACCGGAAGTCCCGCCCCCGTGCCAGCGCTGTGTTGAGGTGTCAGTACAGGATACGAGAGAGCACGGAGGGGGGTTTCCAAAACTCAGTGCAACCTGAAATCAGACGTGTTTAGCCATTCATTTTTAGAGATATGGACCGGATTTTTATGGAGGACGAGATCTGACGAAAGTATGAATAAATAAATGTATAAATAAATACTGGAAGAAATAAATAAAATAATGAATAAATAATTAAATGCGTGAATAAATATATAAAAACTGGTAAATAAATGGGAAATAAATAATTAAATGTCTGTAAATTAAATGTATTTCTACATTTATTTATTTCCACATTTATTTCTTTCTACATGTATTTCTTTCTACATTTATTTATTTACAGATCTCGTCCTCCATAGCTTTTAACACAGTTTTTCTCACGCTAAAGCAAGTGCACCCTTAGTACAAATAGAGTAGACATTGTGTTTATGATTTTAGGTCACAGTTATAAAGTAGCCTAGAGCCTAAACTCAGATTCATCTCAGTTAGTCTTTTTTATGGTCTATCGTTCTTTCTTTCAATTTGACTTAAGTTCCAGATAAAAGACAACACAATACAAAGAAAGAAAGAACGATAGACCATAAAATTGTGTTGTCTTTTATCTGGAACTTAAGTCAAATTGTGTTATTATCCCGTGTTTTGTAATTTTGTTATACCTTAACAGAATTTGTGTGTTTTTAATATTTTTTAAAGTTTTATTTGGGGGATTATCTGGCCACCTGCCTGGAGGACCACAGCCTCCGCACCATGTGGCACCCACACAGACCACCATTTTTTAAAAATTTAATTTGAATATTTTTCGCACTTGCGCAGCATCATTTGCTTATCTAATTTACACATACTTACAATGAGTAACATGTTGTTTTGGAAGCTTACATTGTAATAAATGTGTCCCCAAAGACATACACAGAAAAAGTTATTCAAACATATTCAGTAGTTAAAAGCTAAATTTCTTAATTTCTAGAAATCAACAAGTGTGATTGATATTATGAAGAAGTTCTCTGTAGGTCTTTACACTTCTTCAGACTGATGCAAACCGTGAACATCTTTGCACACTTCGCCATGTTCCAGTAAGAGATTTTTTTTGGTTCATATCCTAAATCAATTTTGCCCACAGACTCTCTCTTCTGTAGTAAGGTGATACAAGCTGTTCTCCTTCTAACAATTGAGATTATTCTTCCACCCACTAAGATCACCTCCTGTTATTGACAAACCTAATAAGGCCACCCTTATTGTTAAAGGTTATCCAATATGCATCTGATAAATCTAGATTGATACCAGGTAATACCCCAGATATTTAGTAAACACCTCTTGTGATATATCAAGTGGCCGCTGTGTTGATCTTAATTAAGAAGATGAATGAGCAGATTATTCCTCTTTTTAGCTTCACTGTGACTGTTTCATATTCATCTTGTATTCACATTTCCTCTTCCACTGCAGTATCGAAGCTGGGGCAACACAGCTCTTTTGCACAGTGCTACATCGTGAGCACATCATGCACATACAAAAATAGAAGACACTGATTTTATTCCGATTTAGCCTTTAACTTCCAGGGGAAATAATGTGAGATATGCATCAGAATGTCATTATTTCATAGTCAGCAAAAGCTTTCTGTGATAAGGTAGATTAACTCAGCATTGACACTTGACTTAGCAATAGCACAGAGACCAGTGGCAGCCAGCGACTTTTGGTGGACTGGAGATAAAACTTTGTTCAAATGCCATCTAGTCTGTGGCATTTAGGGACGTGTGATCCTTTTCATATAATCTGTCAGAATGGTCACAACTACCCATGCCCGCCAATGGTAATTGAGTTCAGTCAGGTGAAACGATGTGGGGTCAGATTGTGCCTTGTGAGGGAGGGTCTTGAGGCCACATTGTCTGTTCCAGTTTCTGTTTTTGTTGGATTAAATGTGATCTTACTGACTGTTTTGTGCATCTGATATTGTACAAAGACGTCTGGCTGAATGTAATAAAATTACTCTATCCTGGATCAACCTTATACCATAAATGAAGACCATTTGTTTGCTCTCAAATTAAACAATCAGAATTAAATGCAGTATATTTTTTCTTTTGTGTGTGAAGCATATTTTTCACATTTTGCAACAAAATGAGCCTGAACATGAGAGTGAAATTGTGTTTCATGTGCTCAAGAACAGATTTCTGTGCTGAGCGATCTTCACATTAACTCAACATTATGCCCTTTTAAATTTTAAAATCATAACATTAGTCTGAATGTACACACACATTTCTACCGTGAGGACTAACTATTCTTTCATTTGCTATGTCTTATCATGGATATTAATGCTGAGATTACTGTGAGTTATCATGTCCTGCTACGGCACTCCGTCAGAGCGGCTTGGTGGCGCAGGAGGAGCTGTGCGTATGCATTTTTTTCTCTGTAATTTCCTCACTCCTCTCATAATTTTTCTCCTTGAGATTTAGGAATGTATCATTATGCCTCTCTGCAAATGGGACTTTTTCACACACACAAAGATACGAACAATATGAAGAGATCCTCTTACAAACTATAATATATGGCAAGGCTCACAATGATGTAGGTCAATTTCCTAAATAAAATGTTTTTTATAGGGGCATTTTGAATAACCCTTTCCATGCATAAGTACTATTGATTTTGAGAACTTTTTTTCAAATAAGAAACATCAAGAATTGTTCTACTATTTTGTAGTTTTATCATACCATTTTAAAAATGACTTATCAAAAAATATATTTTGGTTCATCAAACAATTCAATGTTGCATAAAAACTGCAACTGAAGTGTTTTTTAGCATTGTCTGACACGACACCGACATTAAAACATCTGTGTTGAATATTGGCCACATTCCCAGATAAAAACTTGCTCATCTGCATATAGATTGATCAAATAAAAGCTACATGCAAGAGTATTTCACCTGTGTCAGTACCATCAATGGTGCAGTAATTGAACTAACAGCAGGTGGCAGGAGTGCTGTGTGTTTCATGACAGGCCGTATCTTCTCCATGTTGGTATAACTCCTCAGTCACACTACATCCATCCTGTTACCATCATCTAGTTAACCTGACAGAAAACCTCCTATAAAGAGCAATGAATTGAGTTCTCCAGGTTCTGCAATGTGTGGACATATTGTGGAAATCCCTGAAGCAATGAGCCTCATTCAGTTTGTTTTATATGATGTTGTCTTCACATTGTCACAGGTTTTTTTTCCGTTTGCCAACAACAAAGACGTCTGTTTATGTCCTTATTTGTTTTTCCATATCATGATGTATTGCAGGTTTTAATTCTAGATGTTTGAGTAAATATCATACATAGGACTTCTTCAGTGCACTAGGGTAATAGTGTTTATGTGTTAGGAGTTTTCAAATGATATCTCTTCTGTTCTTTAGAGGTGTACTTCCTGGGTATGAGACAGCAACTTGAATGTTCCAGTGTAAAGCAAATCAACTGTTGTCACTGTAATCGGTCTTAAACCCAAACGCCCTCTTCACAGAGGAGGTGTCAATGGGTAGTTACATGCGAGCTAAACCCTTCTTGTTTGTTGGATTCAGACCTGCTAAGTTAAAAATGTATATATCAGACACACTGTTATTCAAAGGAACATTTACATTTCATATTGTCACGGACATGCAAAGATCAACATGTGTTATTGATACCAATACTGAAATGAAATAATGTTACATACTGTAGCTTTAAATAAGCTTTAAAAAAATTCTACTGAGCTAGAGGCTTTCCGTTTGGGTTCCCCTGCCAACACCTTAGTTAAAAAACCACGGTGATATCAAAAATAGTTTATATAAGTGAAGTTTATTCACACTTAAGTCTTTCATCTTTTCTTGGTGTTAACAACATCTGACCCTCTCAGGCTACTTGACAACATCAGGAGTGACACCAAGGGAATTTTCCTTGTTAATAATTCATTTAGCTTTGACTGTTCACACTTGTGCGTGATGCCCTGGCTTACATAAATTATGACTCACTAATGACTGGAAATCACAAAAGATTATCTTGATGAAGTTAGCCTTTGAGCCTTTAAACACACACTAGGAGAATGCAACAGTTCAGTCTTTAATATGGAATCGGATTTGCCTCTGAGTGGTAATACTGTTAGCATGCAATGACTGAGCTAAGTCTTTAATTAACACCAGTCATCACTGATGTTTTCCAGCATATTCAGGACATAGAACAACTTCTGTCAAGGCAGTGTAAGGATTTCTGTAACAACTTCCCCAATCATCACGGTGCATGGAGAGTGAGAGGCTAGAAGAGGTCAAAAAAGCTCCAGCACTTGTAGATCAAACATCAGCTTTATTGATATCAACTTGTGTCATTACATTTTGTACAGACATTCAGAGTGAAAATTACTTACAAAGTGTAGCGCCACCATAAAGCTAATATTTGTGGTATTTAGTGAAATATTTCGACAACTATTAGCATTCGTGAAAGGACAAATACCTTTAGTGAGCCTTTTTCATTTTTGTCATGATTAAGTCAAATTAAGTGTTTCCAGTTCTTTGTTTTCCATACTTTCCCAATAACTGAGACCTGCTAAACCTGATTTACATTTGCAGGATAACATTTTAGTTTCATTGAGAGTTGTAACTACAGTAAAAAGTCTTAGCTGCAGAGTTTTGTATTAATCTTGACCTCTCATTGCACTCATCATTCTCTAGATCAGTGGTTCTCAACTGGTCTAGCCTAAGGACTCACATCCAACTCCTTCATGAAATATGTGACCCAAAAATTTCCGATTTTCTTTTCAACCCATCAGATGTTTTTAAAGAAAAGTTTATCTGTTTTTATCTCAGACTGACAGTACAAAGAAACGGAACAAAACAAAAATGTTTTTAAAAGCATTTCATAGACTTTTGACACTTTCTTTTTTACAGGCACACCTTCAATGGGTCACGACCAACCACTTCACAAGCACTGCTCTAGATGACCTTGTACTCCTCTTAGATTGTATAAAAGTCATAGAGTAAAGACTCTTGTGTTTTGTTACTTGTAAAACATGCATAATGGTCTACTACTCAGCGTCTCTCTCTCCGAAATCCTCTCTCAGAGATGTAGGAAGGCAATTGAATTGATTGAAATGTATATCAATTAAATGTTTGATGTTATGATGATTCCAGAAAATATACAGCAAAAAATGAAGTGGTACTTTACCAAACAGTCTAAAAGTCTAAGGCCAAATACTGAGAGCCTTTGCAAACTCTAAACAGTGTGTGTAAATCAGTATGAAGGAAATGTGAGTCCTCTCAGATAATAGGAGTCACTGAGATAACCAGGTTACTTACTTATCTTTGTCAGAGATATAATGAGTGACTGCTGATGTCAGATAGACTGACGGAGATGGCTTTCATGACAGTGATTCAGTCCACTCAATAATATGCTTATTTCTATTAACAATGACACTCAGAGTTTAAAAAGCACATGTCATGCACTTTCACATTATCTCCAAACACACGTGAAATCTTATCCTTTATTTTACAGCCAGTTGCATTCAGGCAAAGGTGCAGTTTCCAAAATTGCATCGCAATGTAATGCAAGTAAACATGACAGGTTCACATAAAAAAGCCCAGCACCTTTGGCCACTGTACAACAGTGTCACATGAAGCTACATTTGGTTTGATATATTTTTGAGAATAACGGTTGATTTTCTTGAAAACATGCTGTATCACAATGGGGCATAATGTATTCCCATGCCATGATGTTCACTTCACTTGACACATCCAGCCTCCATCTGATGCCCATTTATGTTCCAAATATTTTTATTGCACATTTATTGAGGACAAATATATACTGACCTGAGATTAGGATTCTCAATCTGTAACCTACAATGGTACATGGGTTGATAGAAAACAAACCCAGGAAAGTCACTACTCACTACTGTAGTCTCAACCCTAAGATTTTTTGAATGTAGGATACATAACCACCTCAAAATGTGAGGGCAACAATACACAACAAGTGATAACAGCAAGGAATGGTGGCTGTTCAAATACAAAAAGTCAAATCATTTATTATCTCTTTCCTGCTCTCTGAAATGTTTTACATCTCCCTTAAAAATAGACATTTCCTCAGCCTTTTCCTTCTTTCAGTTCTTCCTGGCTGCATTTCCTCTAGAGCAGTACTTCCTTCTGATTTTTGATTTATTTACAACAAAGAACAATCAAACTCCATCAGTTAGAATATATAGCATTTTATCAATATTCTGCCCTTTTGAGAAAATCTGTCATCTTTTAACTCATATAATTACTCTATTCAATCTGAACAATTTTAGGAGCCTCAGCAGGGTTTTGTTTAGTGGTTGTGTTTCTGCCCTCCTGCTCAGTCTTCCTGGGCATTCTTGGGCTGCCAGCAGCTTTACGAACGTTCTGCGGGCTGGCAGAGCCAGCAGTTGTTTTGCGTTGAAGTAATGGGCTCCTGGAGCCTTTGGGCTTTGTTGGTGTCAACAAAGAGTCCATGACCTTTAGTGACCTCAGGCCAAGCAGACCACAGAAGTAGTTACACTGATGTTGTGAGACAAACTGTTCGAAAACTTTGGCATTTCCTTCCACAGATAAACCTTGATGCCTGCAGCAAAACACAACACAACCGAAAGTCACAGTCATGATCAATTTAAATGTAAATTACCTGAAAAATTTGGTTTTCACTGTCTAATTTGCACAAACAACACAAAACAAATAAACGTACCCTGTCGATTTCACTGAAATTCCCACATTGGTGATCTTTGTGTCAACACCTGCAAAATAACACCATGTAATTACTTTTTTTTCTGTAGTTCATGTGGCAGAAAAACAAAGTCATCATATTAAATCCAGCAGAAAAAACATATGTGGGAAAAGTTGAGTTTTCTGAAAAAATAAATAAATAAAACCCTGAAGATTCTATTGTCTTTTTTGGATCTAAAGTATGTATGTTAAAAGCAGTGGTAGGTGATTACATTAAAGCTCTTAGGAGAAAACCTTTCCTTTGCACCTGTAGATGTCACTGCCTGTAGGCAGACACCACTAAAGCTACTGCAAGCTAAGGACAGAGCTGCTGTGTCCAGAGACATCCAAACTGAAGCAGGTGTAAATATAGTGGTAAAGGAAAAAAAATACTCTTTCAAAATCTCTTCAGCTCCGCAAAAACGTGCGCTTTTGAGAAGGTATATTTCAAAATAGGTCTACACCCATTTTGGGGCGAAATCCTCCTCATAATGCCTTTTGTTCATGTGAACAGTATTTCAAATGAGTTGGTATGTGTTCAGTGACTTTTTTCTGTACCAGCATTGTGTGCATGTTGGTAATTGAAAACAAAAAAGTTAACAATTTCGGGTGCACAGGTCTTTAATTTTGTTGCCATGGTTTTTTACTAGTTTCATATTGAAGTTTAAAATGATGCTGTGAAAACCTCGATTCTTATAGGCCTACATTTCGTAAATCGTAAATTAAATTGTTTTGGCAGAACATGAGTAGATTCACAGTAGGAGGGTTAAACTACTTATTTTTATTAAGTCTACATAGTCAAACAAACAATGTGTTTCCCACATGGCTTTATCTTCATCTGTATTGTATCATTACCCTTGCCAATAACCAGCCCTATTGCTTACCCTCAAGCCGTGTGAGAAGCAAGTTGCCATTGGTCCACTGATGAATCCAGTGCTGCAGGGCACAGCACTTACGCTCCACCTCAGAGCCAGTCTTCATGTCAATTCTGCCTGTGTGATCCAGGACAGAGTATTTCTGATAGAGTCCAGTCAGATCAGCCTCCACTTTGGCATAAGGAACAGTGTTTGCTGGGCGGTAAATCAGGTAGACTGGAATCACCCTGTAACAAAGATTACCAAGATGATAATCACTTTTAGATATTTTTAATGATCCATGTACTGTAAATTATACTCCAGAGGATGCTAACTTCTGATTTACAGCAGATTAATCACTCTTACTCAAGAGAGGGGCCAAAGTGTTCGATTGCTCTGGCCTCTGCGGCGAAGATCTTGCAGTACTCACGAGCCAAGTTCTGGATTTTACACTCCTGTTTGCAAAGCATTGGAAAAAATCCAGTTGTGATAAGCTCTTCCTAGGCAAGTATATTTATTCAATGTCAATTGGATTAGAACCCCAGTCATTCTACATGGTTACCAGGATGACGCCTGATCAACTCACATTTAATGCTGGAATTATTTGATGATAGGGTGAAGTATGCAAAATTTAAATGAGATTCAAATGACAAAAGCAAGCTGTTCTTTTGCACCTGCTTCACAAAGTCCAGGTTCCTGTCAATGAGGCAGCTTTCTCCCTTGCCTCCATAGTTGATGGGGTTGCCTACTTTAATGATACACGTGTTTCCAGACTCAAACACAGGCTCAAGACCATAGATGACCTTTGCCCTCCAGACTTTGTGTGAACATCCATCACCAATTCGAGATTCCTGCATCATTACACGGCCAAAGAATTTGTTACCCCAGACGCCCGGGTCAGCCACACCCCTGCTGAATATCAGGGGCGTCATTTCGATTTCTTCTCCAACTGGGCACAGGAAAGAGTGGGAATGGGAGCAAGTAAGGAATTTAATGACACTGCTCTGATGAAGAAACAACTAGAGATATAAATATCTAAAATATCATCTTACCACCAAGGTCTTCACGTAAGGATAGTCCGGCCAAAACTGCAACAAAGTTTGAAAGACAAATTAAGATTTGTTATGGCTCAGTAATGCTAAGACAAATGTTTTGTGTACAATGTAAGAGTACTTACGATCTGCACTGAGCAGATAGTCTGTTGAGTCAGTCCCATATTCATTAGAGATTGTGCATCTGTAAACACCAGAGTCTTTGCATGATGCCTGAACAATGGCAAGGTTGACCTGAGTTTCATCTCCAGCACTGAAAAAACAAACAAAAAAAAATGTTTTTGCAGGAATATATATTACACGAGCGATAATTACTTTTCTTACAAATACTGTCTTTTTAAATAGATGAAGTGATATTATTTCAGTCTTTTAAATCATTTAGGTTCTGTAATGCTTATCTTTAAAGTTACTCTGCAAACGTACCTTCTTTTGATCTGAGCAATCTGCTCTTCATTTTTGTACCATTTGATTGTAGAATCCCCGAGGACGTTGAAGAACTGGCACCACAGTTTCAAGTGTCCTGAGGTGTCTGTGAAGGTTTCCCCCCGTATCTTACGGATAACTTGAGGAGCTGGAGTGGAGGAGACCCAACACAGACAACATGTTTAAGGTTGAAACAGTTAAGGTACTTTAAAGATCATCAATCACAGCTTCTAAAAATGTTATACATAGCAACATGGTCGACCACACCTATACTAACACTTCCTACCATTTTTGGGAAATGCAACAAGTTTTCAGGCAAATTCTTTTGCTATAATAATGCTATAATAACTAAAAAGATGTTCATTTTTCAGTAGGAGTGCAGGAGGGGAGGTAGCTTAGACTCCCCATAGGGACAGAATATGAGCAAGAGAGAGGTGAAGGATCACTGAGCACCTAAGGCCTTGGTGGCTTACTTTACAAAAAGCAAGTAAAATACCTTACTCATTGTTATGTTACATAAGAGCAGGTAAAAGACCTTACTCATTGCTAAATTGCAAATACTAACCTTAAATCCATCATCAGCACAACACTAAGCAGCAAATGGCCATTGCAACAAGGTTGGCCCTTGTTGGACACTGTACTTTTTTGTTTAGGAAGATTATTTTACCTTTGAATGGGTCTCTCTTGTCATTCTCCGCAGGCTTCTCCTCAGATTTGGTTGTCTGTATCCCCTGACTGGGCTGCTGGCTTGGTGCCTGAGTCTCAGGTACAATCTTCTTCCTGCTAAACAGCGGAGAATGCCTCACTAGGGGGGATGTTGGCTCACTTGGGGGCTGCAGTAAAGGTGAGCGCCGTGACAGGCTAGGAGATGTAGAGAGGGTAACAGGACTTGGAGAAAGTCTGTTGCTTTGTGTAGAAACTTCCTTTATTAGACTTTGGTTATCAGTTGTTGATGTGGTGTCTGTGACCTCATCAGGTCTGGCCTTGGGTATAACGATTTTGCGTCTGGCACCAGAGGCCAGCTCTTGTGGCGTAGCAGAAGGAATGGGAGAAACACTATTTCTTCTCTCTAACAATGGACTGGCCTCGGGAGTTGGACTGGCTGGGGGGGTACTCCTTGAAGAATCCAAATCTTGAGAAATAGTATTACCTGGGGCACTTTTAACAGGGGATCTTTGTAAACTCTGCAAATAAGTGTTTTTTTCATCTTCCTTTTTGTATTGATCAAAATCTGTTGCAGAATTTGTTTCTTTAATCTCTCTTTCAGTTTTGCTGTTGAGTTTTATTTCTGGACTTAACCTTTGTGTAACTTTGATGCCTTTGCTAAGAACAGGTTCAACTTTAGCATGCTCTAAAACAGTAATATTTTCCCCTTGACTACTGGCTTTTAAAGGTGCCACTGTAAGTGGAGTACCTGCTTCTTGAGTTACACTTCCAGAAAGTTTTGAAATTGAGCTATAAATCAGTTCTTCCTTGGAAGGTAAAGGAAGAGAATTGACACTTTCACTCCCAGACAGGGAAACATCAGTGGAATGTTTTTGAGGAACCACAGCCAATGTTTTAGTTTCTGGGCAAATGTCCATTGCACATTCTTTATATTCTCTGGCACTACCATGAACCCCAGCAGTCTTTATAGTGGTGCCAGTTTCTTCGTTGGAGATAGGTGGAATCATTTTGGGGGCAGGTGGTGAAGTTTCAACCTGAGTCTGAATTAGTTCCTGATCAGTTTGATTTAGTTGATGATAAATCTCCATAAGGGTTTCCTTTATGTTTCTGATAGGAGGAACATCATTACTCGTCTCAGTCACCCTGTCAAGCTTAGACTTCCTGACATCTGGTTTGTTGTTTCCATCTTTAAACTCCGTACATTTTCCAGTAGAAGGCGGATCTTGCACAGAGTCAGCATGAAGCGGTATGGTGGTTAATGAATTGGCAAGTGTAGACTCAAGGGCCTTTATTTGTGATCTCAAAAGCTCAGCTATTGATATAACTGCCGTAACAGGCTCTGGAATTTCTTGTAATTCTTTAATTGGTGGTTGAGACAAGCTTGTGTTTTCTTGAGGTTTTGTTTGGAGTGGCATAGCTGGTTCGCGCCTAGTTGACTTCCAATTGTGTGTTTCCAATGTGTTTCCCTCAACCCTTTTAAGTACATGTGCATTCTTCTTACTTTCTTCATCAGATGCAGCATCAGTTTGTGGATTTGTCACCTTTGTCATTTCTTCTGTTTCAATTTGTTCAGTCATATGTAGAGCTGCAGTGTCAGTCTCCATTTCAACCACCCTCTCCTTTGGGGCCCACCTGTCAGACTGTACTAAAGACCTACTTGCCTCGTTACTCTCTACCTTCTCATCAACTTGCAGATTGGTGCCTTCAACAGTTTTTATGGCCGTATCAACTTGGCTTTGAATGGCGCAGGGAGAAACGTTACACCCACGGGAGCTCTCAGCATGACCCGGGCTTTGGAGGGATGACTTCTGTATGTCTGTATAAAGCACCGTATGGATTTCATTTGATCCCCTGGTATGATCTTGTGTGTCCTGGGTCATTATGTTATCAGCTGATTGAGGAACACTGTGCAAAGAAAGGGTCTGGATGTCATCTGTCATGGTCTCTTTTTTAGATGGAGTCCTTTGTGGTGGTTGTACATCCATCGTATATTGGTTGGATTGAACCTCAGGGATGACAGGTGCGTCATTCCTGTTCATCTTTGTATGGGCCTGTGTAACCTTGGGATAAAACACATCAGAGGTTTCCATGCTGTAAATACTCATCCCTGGCTGTGCTGGACATGGATAAGTAAGTTTAAAAACAGCAACAGTGTAACCAGCAACAAACAGAGAACAGAATGGAAATGGCCTTCGAGCAAAAATACATTTATGAACACAAGAATAGATTTAAGTAAGTGATGGAGAGCTTTTCTTCACCTGCTCTGCTGGCAATGTTCACACAATGTTAGTGGAAAAGCTTAAAATAAGCAATTTCATGGTGTTTTCACGCAAATCTGTTGTTGGGATAAGCTGCATGTATGAAAACAAATGGCAGACATTTTCACCCGACTTATCCCAGACTTCTTTCTGCCAGTCCATTAAGTAAGATGTCACTTAAAATTAATCATTCAATGTGCTCATATATTTGATGAATGGTGAACTATTTTTTAAGTCATGAATGAAAACTTGAGAATAGTTCGGTCTGGAGACATTGCATGACCACTTGTGTTCCGAGGTACCAAGAAATTATGGCAGCCGACTGACAAGGCTACATCTGTAGAATACGCCCTAGGCATGAAATTTAAAGCACGGTGACATTTCAAGTGTGCTTTTCAAAGTTAAGGCCTGATCTATGTTTCCCCTGTGATGACACTACCCCGATTTTCACACAATGCTTTTATTAAAAATTGAGTGAATTAAGTAACTTGCAAAGCTTTAAAGATCTTTCTTGGTGTCCCCACTGAACGACATTGCATACATACGGGGAAAATCTCACTCTGTGAAGGACATGTGTTAAACGGGTGCTTTACTCGGGTAGGCTGTCCTGAAATGTTCTCGAGTGCATATGTGAAAACAGCTTCCAGGTTTCTATTCATGTAAGTAAAGGATTTCTTAAATCATTCAAAGTTTAATCCAAGTTCTAAAGTAAAGCAGAAACTGTGTGTTTAAGTATAGGGTATATATTTCATTAAAAAATAAGCATGATAAACTTCCACAGGTTTGTGCTATACAAGAGTATGAGTTGATAAAAACTACTTAAAAGGCTGATACTGAGATTAATCCTCTTTTTAAATAAGCAGAGGGGTTGCCTGTGTCATATTTCACTCCATCATACAAGGTTGTTTTCTTTCACTGTGTTCTGCCTCCATGTTAATTCTCATTGCAATAGCAAAACAGTCTTTAAAATACATTAAAACCATGTTGTTATAAGATACAGAAAAATTCTGCATTGTTGGATCTTACATTGATATTGCATGCCTATTCACAAGTAGACTGGCTATATTATATCCAAGTGTAATCACAAAAGAATGTGAAATATTTTAAGAGGTGCTTCAGTCGTGCAGTGTTTTCTCTCAGCACTCAGTGCCAACAGGAGAAGCCATGCAGATTAAGCATTGCATAAGCAGTGGGCAAAAAAAGATTTAGAAGGAAAACAAGTGTATATTCATGTTTCCAAACTACCGTTCAAGGAAACGTTGTAGCATATATTCAAACATGAGCTAATATTTTGTATTCTTTCACATAACATCATGTATTTAAGTTATGTTCAAAGACTTAATATGTGTCATATGTCAATACTGCAACCCCCATGTATTTACTTTCACTCACAACAAATCTTTGAATTTTATATCTGCTCTATGGCATACGTACCTGTTCTAAGCTAACGGTTAGTCTCTGCTAGCTTACCCAAGCAGAAAGACTTTCAACAGGAGAAAACAGCTAGCTTTTTGTTGTTGTTGTTATGTCTCAGTGGTTAAAGCCTTTGAAAATGTAAGTGTTGAAGCAAAAATCTCACAGAGCCAGGCTAGCTGTGTTTTACCGTTTGTCCAGTCTTACTAGTTCAGTTAGCCAACTACAGGAGTTTTAGACAAACCAGAGAGGGGTATCAATCTTCTCAACTCTGTATGAGACTGAAAATGATTTCCAAAAATATTAATCTTTTGCTTCTGAAGAAATCCACTCTTCTGTATTCCATCCCTACAGAGAAATAATGATTCCAAATTTCTGGGAAGGCTAACTCTCAGATCTTTGAGCTAACCATATCAGATGAACTGAATTAGTATACCTGTTTCATCTGTCGACATGTGCGTCATTTAATTCTTGTCACACAGCAGGGCATGCTTGCAGAAGCTATTAATAACTCCAGGATGCTTGTGTTAGCTATGAGGCCTGTGTTGGCAGCACAAAGCACTCATGAGCTCATGCCTCACCCACCTCACTCAACAGCGTTGGCCCAGACACTGACACATTTTTTTGGTGGGGGCTTGTTTCCGTCTCAGACAGCTGATCTCCAGCCTGTTCACATGGACGCTGAGGTAAAACAGTCCAGCTTTCAACTTGTACATTCACTGACTGAACGTCTCTGTGTGCTGGAGATCCTCCTGTTGAACTACTTGACTTCTTGTCAACATCCATGCCTGAAACATGTTCTTTTTTAGAAATGTCCTCTTTTACCTCGCTCTGCTGTTTTGCTTCTGCTGCAATTGGCTGTAGTTGTGCGGAGATAGAATGAGGACTTATGTTCTGCATTTCCAATTTTTCTTTTTTATCTCTCCTAGCAGTATCCCTCTCGTGCTTTGTAGCTTGTTTCTCAGTAGTTCCTGACACAGTATAACTACTGGATGTAAGAGTGGCTGGAGGTACTGAGAGGGAGAGCAGTTCTTTGTGTGAAGGCATGGTTACCTTAACAGATACTTTGTCCTCTGAAGGCCTCTCAGCAGGGAATACTTCCACTGTTTCTGCTTTCTGCTCCCTCACGTTTCTGGAGGTTGAATCCACAACAGTTGACCATAAAATGCTCTCTACCTCCATAACTTCTTCTGAATTCCCCTCAGACCTCACTGGCTCTGTTGTGGTCAGAGCTACAGAGGTTACGGCCCTTCTCTCCTCAGGGGTCCTCTCTCCTGGTGCGTCTGATTTCGCAACTTTTGCACTATTGGAAATTCTAAGCTTCTTTTTGACGAAGGGAGTTCTTGGCTTGTGTGCAGTAAAACTCTTCTGGGCAGAGTCATATATGTACGTCCCGCTCTTGTTAATGTTTTCACTGATGGCCTGTCTATTAGTTACAGCAGACACTGCTCCATTAGTGATGGGGACTGGCTTTTCTTCTACCTTTTCCACAGCTGCCTCCTCCTGTAACCTGGTCTCAGCCTCCTCAGTGACCGCCTGAGGGCTCACCTCACTGCCCTCGTCCTCTGTAGAGCTTGGCGCGCTGAGAAAGGCGTCCATTGTGGAACGACGCTTCCTCTGGGTGCGGTCCGGACTTATGGTTCGGAACGGCTCCTGGTTTTCTTTACCTTCTGCTTCTCTGCGTTTGTTCTCAGCCTTTTGTTTCAACTTGCCAAAGTAGCGCTGGTGGATCTTATACTCGTTCATTTCACCCACCTCCAGTACCCCAGAGCAAGACACAATACCTTTACTGTTGCTGGCTGACGCCTGGTATATAGCTGCATCATCCACAGTGCAACTGCAAGAAAAGACAGTTAAAGTTCAATTGTATTAATGAATGTTTTTTTATTAAAATTATTGAGATAATATATTATTGAGAAAAATTGTTACCTAAGAAGAAAAAACTGATGTGTTAGCTTGCTTACTTGTAAATGTGCAGGGAATGATTTTGTCCATTGCGGAATAATTCATACTTTGGCAGTCCACAGTATCTGTCTAACTGCATATCATCCTTATACCAAATAACTTGAGGAGTAGGGTGTCCTTTAAAAGAAAAAAGAAAAAAACGTGACATTGACATGACTGCTAGGGATGGAAAGTCTGGTACATTGTGAATCCCTTGCAGAACATCTAATATATTCCAAATGAATGAAATTCAGTGTATATATTGTCTCTTTTTTTATGTGAATTCCTTTTCTCAAAGTGTTCATATTCACATAAGCATGTGATTTAGACAGGTTGTTTATAAAGTTGTAATATAGTTTACAGTCACATGCACATTGTACACTGTACACTGTGACCTAAACAATGTTTACCTGTAACCACACAAGAGAACTTGACATTGCAGTTCTCAGACACGGCTTTGGACTTGAGGGTTGTTTCAAAGGACGGCTGTGTTTCCTCCGTTAGTTGCGCTATCACACTGCAGAGAGTGCTCCTGTGCAAAATAAGGAAGATGCTCAGTTCAGATGTAAGGTTTTGTTTTGTTGTTGCAAAATATACATTATTGCATACATACTAGATTGTCATTTTGTGTTTTTGAGCACAATTACACGCAACAGCTGCGGTTTTAGGCAGAACACTTTCACGACCAACTTAATATCAAATTACACCCTCGAGTGAAGAGAAAAGTCTCATTTACTTACTATTTTTAAATTTCAAACTCCAACTATCATTCTGAAATGGGCTTCACATTAAATCTAAAATATAAACACTAGATGTTTTATTTAAAATTTACAAAAACAACCAGAATCGTGTTCACTTTTTTTCATTTAACCTTTATTTAACCAGATAATTAACGCATTGAAATTAAGAGCTCTTTCACAAGGGTGACCTGACCAAGAGGGCAGCAGCACACAGATTAAGCAACATTAGTTACGAGCAACAACAAAATGTTTACATTGGTCCCCAGATAAAGTGCAGAAGTTGTAATCACATTAAGGCCCTAAGCTGTTAGTGGAAAAAGCTTTTCAGTTGTGATTGAGAATTAGGGGAAAAAACAGATATTTAATGTTTAAATAACTTGAATGCTATATATTTATGTGCGCGGATTTGGTCACCAAAGTGCATTGTTAAAGTTTGAATATGTGAAACATAGATTAAGCTGTTTTGAACACTTTCACACTCTCAGAGGCAAAGAAAACAGAGGACATTTTATTCAAAAAGACCACAGAAAGAAACAAACAAAAAACTGTGTTTCTTGATATCTTCCATAGTGTAATAATTATCTGGCATGACCTTTGAGAAAATAATATTAATATTCCATGTGACATTAATTATAAAAATGAAAGCCACATTAAAGATAATGAAGGGGTCAAGAGTGTTGAACCATTATAGCATGTGGAAATGTGGAGGAAATGTTACATACACACTCATATAAAAGCAAATGAATCCATTTGGGTTTGCATGCATAGACGAGCGTGATGTTTGTATATTTTATGTTCAGATAATTCATGTCTGATGTTGACATCCAGCTCAGTTTTGTCTCAGATATTTTCACACCTCACTGAATGTTACTAATGATTAAGCAAACAAAACAAGACATGAAGAGAGTTCCCCTTAAACAATATACTGAACATGTCACAGCATGCCACATTGTGTATACTGATGTTTACTTCTAACTCTTGGAGTTTATTGTCGATCCATTGCAAACATTATACAATATGTTGAGTAACATAACCAAGAGTAAAAATGTGTTTAGGTTTTGAACCCATTATTTTTAAACAACAGCTGTTTATCATTAAAAAAAGGGCCAAGAAAGGGTAACATAAATAAACCTTCCATTTGTCTTTATATTTCAGGAAGCTGATAATGGTACTAATCATCCAGATTTGAAATACATTGAGTATTATGGTATTCTGATTAAAAAAAAGAGAAACAAAATGGCCTTCAGGGCATTAAAGGCTGCCCTCTGCTGCTGAGTGGAAAGAAATGATTTTTCTTTTATCCCAAAAGTCTTCATTGGGAATCTTTCAAGAGATGAACCTTAAGGTCAACACCCCTCATTGGATAAAAAAAAAAAAAGTATTTCCATAGAAGCTGTTGTTGGAGTAACGCATGATGTCCCAACTGTTGCATAACTGAGATGCTGTTCTTTATCAGCAGTTTATTTAAACTCCAGTAACCATGGCAACAAACAAAGATATGACATCCCTACCGCTTTCGTCACAGGTTTGAAAAACTAATCTATTGTATCCAACGTAGATGATGATGTATGACATGACCCCCATGCACAGATGTTTTATTGAGTATAGGAGCACACAGTGTGTACCTGTTTTCTGGCCTCACGTTGGAGAGGTAACTGCAGCTTGCAGGCCGAGTGACATCCCCATTACTCGACCGTCCATTTCCAGAAGAAGAGCGTGTTGTAATCCTGCGTGAACCCATTTCCTTCCAGATACACAAGTAGTCCAGAAAAAAAAACTTTTTGCTTCTTTTTGGCTTTCCAGAAAAGTAAAAAAATAACTAAAGGAGAAAAAGAGTAAAAACATAAATATGTAAGACTTTGTGACTGACAGAGCAAAAACAGTTATGTAACATAAACTTTTGGTTTAACACAAAGTAAACATCTTTGTTTCTGCACTTTGGGATAATAAAACCCAAACATCTGTAGGAGATGCTCAATAAAAGCCTTCTGTTTTGCAAACTTTTGTATATTCTTTGAAAAAAAGCAGTCTATTTTAAACGGTTAACTCACCGTCCACAGGTCCTTTCCCTCCTTTGACAGATACCCTGAGGCACTGACTTAAGGCTCTGACAATTTCCAATCAAACATGAGCATGCGTAGGCTGCTGGACTATTTATAGTCGGCCTGCAAATAGGCACAAGAGCACATCACACTTTCCAAAACTTGCCTTTGGACCATTTAATTAAAAAAAAACAACATGCCAGCTAAGGTCCAGGATAAATAAAGTGGTGTAGTGAGAGGTCTGTCCAGAACCAAGAAATATTCTGTTGCAAAGGAAAAATCCACGAAAATCCCTGGTCAAATTCAAGGTCAATCTGTTGCGTATAGTTTCCTGAAAAAGAGGACCAGACTAAATAAATCAGGGCTCTAGGGTGATTCTCGTCCGTTCCCCGTGGATAACAGACACAGAGAGAAGAGAGCGGCCACTTGTGAGGTCATAGTTGGCTGCTCCCTCGCTCAAACATTTTATCTTCTGTTGTAAAGGATCATATGAGCCTGTCAATCAAGAGAATGACGCCTTCACTTATAAGTCCATTCATATGAGTATAACATTCTCTCAGTCATCCAGTCACAGGGTTACTTTCCACACACGAAAGTGTGGAGGTATATATAGTGATATCACAGTTTAAGGATGGAAACAAGACATAAAGACATTTTCTTTCTTATAAAAGACATATTTTGTCATTATATAGTATAAGATGTTAAAGGGCTTCCATATTCTCTGGCATGCATTGTCTATTGAGTGACAATTGCATTGGCTCCCCAGAGGAAAAGCAGTAGGAATAGAACAGCCTTATATAGGCAGATCCCCACTGAGTGCCAAAGAGCTATGTGCTCTTATCTACACAAAAGCATGCACACACACACAAATGCTCTCCCTCGCACAAACACACATCAGTGAACTGCACTTTCATTTGTGTTCTTTTTACCTCACATCAGGCATTTTTTTAAATTGTCATTTGGCTAAACGTCATTCAAAGACATGTTCGCCTCTGAAAACGATTCCCTGTTGACATTTGTTTCGTCATTCAACAAGACATATTTACATTAACCTGTAGACTTACAAGTTTCATAATCCCCTCTAAGAATGTTTTAGTTTGACATGATTTGTTTTTTTTACAGACAACAAATCTTCCTACATCCAGTTCAATAATATCTGTCATATTTTCTTATTATGTCACCATGCCCATATTGAAGGAACTCTGTTTAGCTATTTGAATTATTTCGTTCCATCCATCATGGTCTTTTTAAACCCAACTTTTCTTGCAAGGGAGGTGATAAAGTTACTTCACCAAACAGCCAGGACTAAAAAAAACATGTAAATTCTCTAGGGGGAAAAATGACAGATTTAACAACGAGGCATCTTTGACCTCCAAGAATTGGTCACGCAGTGTAACATTTCATACTGACTTCAATGAGCAATTCCCATACAACACCACTGTGTGCGCGCACACACACACACACACACATTAACACCATAGTGATGGACATGTATGGGCTGCAAAGCCGTGTGTGATTGGGTGCATAGACAGGTTGGAGAACACAGTTGCCTCTGCCTGGTCTGAATATTCTATCTGGACAGGGTGTGTACTGGGACATCAAAGCACAACAGGGTGAGGAAACACTGCAGAAGGTGGGTGACTGTCGGGTGACTCTTCCTGTTTCAGGGGGATTTCGTAATGCCGACCCATGTCAAGGTACACAAATAGACAGTAATAAAGAAATGGAGGAGACCTTTGTCTCTGCTCATACAAAGAAGGCAAATTATTCAAGATTCATCAGATGTTACGACCTCAACAGACAACCAGATGAGATTTTCATGAAGTGTTATGCCCCCTTTTCCCCAAAAACAAATCATCATTCATTGATTTTTTTTTTTAAAACAATTCCTCTCAATATCTGCGTTCAGACAGGGTCTGTTGGGGTTAAGATTTCAACATTGCATGCCAATTGCCTCATGCTTTGCTATGTATAGCACTTGTCTTAATCCTGTTGTGGCTTAGTGTGGCAGATTTATAGGGAGTGCAGATGATGATCACTGAGACCACTACCTCTGGCTTTGTTCAAGTCATTATCTGACTTTTGCAAATATAATTGGGAATAATCGAGGGTATGCTTTGCCTTAGTCATTGAACTGTTGTTACTAAGGATGTGTGCAGATGTGTGTCAGCTGTCCCTTTATCTCCCTTTAGGTTCATGTGTATTTGTAACAACTTTACTTCATCTCACCCTCCAGTTATAGTCTGACTCTGAGTACATATAAAACAGAAAAACATGAAGTCTTGGCAGGAATCAACACAATCTACATCAAGAGAACCCCTGCATTCAGCCTCCAACAAACCATTATGACCATGAACCAACAATGTCATCCCAAATAAAAAACATTTTTCTGCACAGTTTAACTGCATCATTATTGTCCTGAACATTCTGCTCTCTGTCCCTCCTCACCAGCCTAAATGGCCGAGCTCAGAGAGTCTCTGCTATCTGTTTGCCAACATTTAAACTTGGATCATGGAGACAACATGGACATGTCCACTGGGGTTGTGATTACCTTTGGAAAATGTTTTATGACGTGATGAGTTTGAAAAAGCAATCTGGTACTTTACAGCAGTGAGCTCTAGCCATCACTGAGAGTTCCCTCTTGTTGGCAAATTCAACAACAGGGCTCATTGTTATCATACTATATATTAGTATAGTGAAAAAAATGTCTCACAAATGATGCTTCTCTTGAACGTAGAAAGGAACTTTGCCCTAATAATAGTTGTTTTAAGAATAAACACATCAGCTAAGCCTTCTTAAGTCTTAAAACCAACAATCTTGATATCATAGAAAGTGTGAATTAAGTGTTTGATTTAGCTGCCTGGGGAGCAAATCAACTCCTGAGATCACAACTACTGAAAGTTACATGAAACACCAGCCGCAAGGGAAACACGCTGTTCCAATCCAACTTGAATATAACCGCAACAGATCAAAGATGGTTTGAATGATGGCGTGCTGACAGTCAGACAGGGCGCGGGTCACATTAGTGGACAAACCAGGTTGTTTTTTTATTCACAGATTAGTGAAACCTTGCATGGGTAAAAAAATGTTGCAGAGTATACACTTGAATACTGACTTGAAGACCTTAGGCTTACATTATATGCTACTAATTATCAAATAAATCATACTTATTATTTGAATATCGTTTAAGCGCAGTCCGACCTGTTTTGCTTGCTTGTTAGAATTATGGGAGACTGGTCTAGTGCCAAGTGTACCCCCAGACAGCCCCCCTCACGCATGCACAGTTGGACACCAGAGTGTTTTCATGTTTGACAGGTCTCTGTGGAAACTGAGCTTGGCTTTGTACAGCCGTCTGGCCCGCTGCTGAGGTTGTGACATCATCTTCTGGATATTCACACCAGTGTCAGATCCAAGGAGGCAGAAACAGGAGAAGACTTGACCTCCAAGGACAGCTGTGTGGCCCAAAACCTGTCACACACTTTATGTGACATGCCACTGCTCACATTCGCATTCAGTCAATCATATGCACGGACTGTAAACATACAGGATTAATGGGCCTCAGTTTATTTTGCATCACACTTCCAGTCAAACAGGAGCCGATGGCTTTATTTTTCATGGGAAAACTCTTATCATGCTTGTTTTTCAGTTCATGTTTAAGAAATGAAAAGGCTTCAAAGTTAAAAGCAGAAAATTAAGACACTTTCATTTGAATTAATTCATCTTTGGGATAAATTCAAACTTTCATTTTAAAATAAAAATTCCACTTTAGACTTCATTAGATTCATCAGCCTTGCTGTATTTGGCTCCTTTGCTGCAGTTATAGTACCGTCTAATGATGATCATCTACAGCTGTACATGTAGGTTTAATGCCTCTTTGACTAGACATATTCTGTCAATACATTCTACAGTGAAACACAATAACGAGATAAGAGTTTTTTCTGCCGGTAGAACAACAGCAACCTCTAGTGGTAAATGTGGAATCATTACAATGAAAGTACAAGCTTTGGTTGAATTTGGCCATTCATTATCTGTGATGCAGAAACAGATCTTCATATTGAGGTGTCACTGCACAGAAGGAAAAATGAGGTTTTCCATTAACACTGATACACCGGGCATTTCACCACACCTGTTAATATCTGGAACCTATTTTTTTTTTTTTAAATCTCTATCTTTATTTAGATTGAAACACTGTGACACCAGCGAGGAACACCGCAGAAAATAAAACATTTCGGGGATGTTACAGTAATATATTTATAAAAACAGTACTTACATATAAAGCATACATTCTGTCTCCATACAAACTCAAGACTTTCAACCAAATCAGAACATCATGCTTATACTTGTATTACTTTTTAAACATACAGTAAAAGTAAAAACACTACTTGCAATTGAAAATGCTTTTAATGACAGTTTGAATAGAAAAGAAGCAAACAGTCTGCTGCCTGTATAGATTAGAATAAAAACCACTTTAGTTTCCAGTCCAGCCAGAACTTCAGTGAAGACAGCCCAAATCCCAGAAGTGTTCAGTTTTCAAGTCTTATGTTGCATTATTCTGCTTTAACTTGGACAAATATTACTTTTTTTTCTCTTTTTTCTTCATAAAATCGGCGACTGATGGCTGCTTGCGTTTTACACCTAGAGAAAACAATAAGAACGATATCTTCATTGCAGGATTTGCTGTAAACATGTATTACTGTACACCAAAGAAAAGAAAAGTTTATTATTGTTTGCCATACCTTGCTTTTTGCTGGGTGATTCAGAATCTGCTGATCTCTTTGCATAAGCCAACTTCATCCTCTGGATGTTCTTCTTGCTGATCACTTCATGCTCTACTAAAGGACGTGGGTAATCTTTCCCCACAATGCATCCTGCTGCCTGCTGGACACTGTGTGGCGCTTTCCACGGCTCATAGATGTACGCGGCTGGAAACTTCTTCAGAAGAGGAAGGTACTTTCTTTAGAAGTAGAGTACAGGAAAAGTTATTTCTTATAACACACACACACATCATCCTGCTTACTTTAGCCAAACAGCTTTATGATCTTACTTGATATAGTCTCCGTTTTTGTCTGTCTTCTTGCCAAACGCCACAGGGGAGTAGACCCTGAAGTATTGGTGAAAGAATGTGCTTGCTGAGAGCCACTGCCAGTTTCCAGCGTTCAGAGCCCAGTCACCATCCAGTAAAAGCTCCTCAAACACCTTTAGGAGCAGTCAACAAAACTTTAAAGGAGTGCCTCACAGGTTCAGCAATACACACAGATTGAGTGTAGCGTTAGTTCAGGCAGGGAACAGAGTCACTCTAACCTCATCAGCTGATGGCCAGCTGATTTGCTTCAAAGCACCCTATTGGCCAAATAGTAGTAGCTGCCTTATTCAAACTGCTCTAGCTGCCTACTCTTTGCTGTCCCTCCGAAAGCCGCATTTGCATGTCATGCTGTTGTCATTGATGCATGATCTGTTGGGGGGGGGGGGGGTGTTGCTGCTTATCTCCCTGCCTTATAAGTTTTCCTTGTATGCACGGGAAGGGCAGGAATGTGTGCTGTTCCTGCCTAATGCTTTCCACGTAAGCATGTGGGGCCATACCGGCAAATATTAATAATTGCAATGCAGTCTTTTTTCTTGAAAAAGTGGTCCTTACTGAAATATAATTCATGCTGGACAGCTACACAAAAACGGTCCAAATTAATGCGGCAGAACAAAAGACATCCTTATGTTGATTCTTTGCATTCTTCTGCTCTGCAAAGTCCTGATACCTCTTTTACCCACAATGCAAAGTGTCTGCCATCTTTTGGGATGAGTGATTCATTTTAGAAATGGCTAATCTAGCCTTAAGATGCTAGTTTAAAACATAGATAAGGAGGTAGCTTGATGTGTAACATCCAAGGAGTTCCCAGCTAAGATAGTCTAAGATAATGTTGACATTGGTTATTACCTTATTGCCCTGATTAAAACAGCTAGAGCACATATACAGTCTAAAAGCTACTTAGACACGTTACATGTGCCTTGTTGACTTTTGTGCTTTTGTAAGACAACGTTATATTTTTTATTTCTCTAAAGTCACCATAATGTTGAGGCTGTTTGCACACCTTCTGCCCCTCTTCCCAGTTGATCCACAGGTCTCCCCTGGTGAGAAAACAAGCAACAGCATGTCTGGCCAGGTGGTGGATCCAGCCCTCCTGCCTTAGCTGAGTCATGATGGCGTCAATGAAGGGGAAACCAGTCCGAGCCTTGAGGGAAATGCAGAAGGTTGAAGATGACAGGCAACAGTTGTGACACAGAAAATGACACAATCTTTAATTAACAGTGACTGAAAACCATCCTGCAGCATCATTTCTCATCGTTTTGGTCGTTAATTTTATTATTTCTTTTAGGAATTAAATACCTCTCTCCATGCAGCAAGATATTCTGGATTTGTGTCCCAATCCACCTGTGTACAAACAGGGTTGCCCTCCATCTTGTTAAAGTTTGGGACCCCCACACTTGCTGTGTAGAAGAACTCTCTCCATAGTAGCTGACCATGTAGGGACACTGGAGGATCCGAGTGCCTCTTCTGTAAGGTATCACATACAAACACAGAGTCAAAGAGACAAACTTTAACAGAGATTCAAAGTTAGGACGATGCATAACGCTGTAAATGTTCAAACATTTATCCCATTGTTTCTTTAGTTAAAATTAGCACATTGCTTGTATAACATACCCCACTGCCTACAGAATCGTGATGGTGTCTGTGTCACTCACCCCCTGATAAACGTCTGTCAGCCTCCACCAGAAGGTGCGTGCAGACAGGCAGCCAAACGTCACATGTGGACTGAGAACAGTGGTGCTCGGGCTCAGAGAGTTTGGAGAAGTCTGCGGCTTCTCAAAGCCACACACCCAACCCTTAATGTAAGAAAACAGGTGAGTGTAAACCAGGGGTAGAATATAAAGTATGTTTTATATTTGTCCTTGTTTGGATGTTGGTTTAATACTATTCTCCTTCATGTTAGATTTGATTTAAGAATGTGTCTAGAAGATGTCTTGATAGTTCACACCCTTCATCATATAAACGGGATAAATACCGTTCTTTGCATATGTTCATCTAAACTCCTCAGTGCCTCCTGTTCTCCTCCTGGGAACTTCTCCTCAAATAGAGCTGAGGTGTTGTGACCGAGCTCCTCAAGAGTAGGGAGCCCATATTCCTCCTCATGCTTTTTAAAAGAAGGGGTCTTCACATCTGTGACAGGAGTGATTCATTTCATTTTCATTCACTTTTCAACATTTCAAAATCTTCTTATACCCTCTATACCGTGAGGGAACTTCTTGAGTGTTTATTGTAGTACCTTTCATATCTTCAACGGTTGGAGCAGAGATTGGTCTTTTTGGGGGGCCGAGGGTCTTTACGATTGCCTGCATACGGGTGTAAGTTAGGGGGGCCTTCCCATTGTTTTCCTCAATTATCCTAAGAAAACATGAAAGACAATAAAAACCCCAATTAAGTATTTGAGAAATTACAGCTGTACGCGGTTTCAGTAAAACTGTAAGAAAACACAAGTGTTCATCGAGATGTATACCTTTCTATATCATACAGAGTGTGTGAGATTTTGTATATGACTTCCACTCCATGGTCTTTGGCCAGTGTGGTCACCGTTTTGTCCCGGCTCAAACTGTAGGGCTCTGTGTCGAACTCGTAGGTCATCTTTGTTACTTTCCATTGGTTGAACAGCTTTGGGAACACATCCTCAGGCTTCCCCCTCAAAACAAACAGCCTGAGATTGCAAGACACAGAATAGTGACGAAATATCAATGACCAGTTCTTCTTGACCCATGTAATTGCTTTCCTTCAGGTGCCCAAATGGCAATAGCAACTTTTTTTTTTTTTTATACGTTTCTTATTTCCTAAAACTGTGGCCTCTTTATCCCTACCTGGAGTTGAGCTTCCTGAGGCTGCAGTCCAGGTCCTTGAGGGCTCCAATAAGGAATCTCCAGCGGTTTATGCCCACAGAAGTCTTGTTATGGAGGTATGGGTCGAGGATGAACACAGGGTAGAGCTCCTTACAGTCCCTTAGAGCTGCTATCAGTGCTGGGTTGTCATGCAGCCTGAGTCCCTTACGGAACCAATGAATGCATGTATGAGCCATACCTGTGAACAAGTGAACATGTGGATTATAGATATGTCTTTATGACAATATTCCCTCTTCATGTAATGTATGGGGAATAGTTATGTGCAGGTATACTAAGCTTGGTGTACACAAAGGTTTTCATTCAATTCAAAAAACTTTATTTGTCCCCGGGGAGCAATTCAAAGGCACACAGTGCAGTAAATATACAACAGTGCAAGTAAAGGAAACATTTTAACCTAAATATAAAGTGTCAATTTAAATACAACTTAAAGCTTAAACTTCACTTAAAAATACAAAATATAAAAAGAGTAGATATAAATGGACAGTGATCGGACTGACAGATGTAAACAGATGTAAACAGAACTATGTGCAGTAGTGACCAGATGTAAACAGAACTATGTGCAGTAGTGACCAGATGTAAACAGAACCATGTGCAGTAAACGAGAAATAAATATGTATATACAGAGCTATATGCTATGAGCTATTACAGTCTCACAAAAGGTTAAGAAAAGTGTGAATGTTTAAAATGTGGCAAATTCAGATCAGTATTTTGTTATGTGTATATCAACTTGTGAACATCTTAAATGCATGCATTATTTAATACACGTAAATATGACTAAAACAATGCATACTTTTGTGAACACAGGATGAAAAAATAAACTCACAAAAGAATAACTTACGTGCACAAGTTTTTCTAAATCAATGAACAATTTTTAAAGCAAATCCGTACCTTGATTGTGGCGTAAAGGAGTAAAACAGACGCTGGTTCGGTACAATGTGTATAGAAAAACTCCTCTTTCATAACTCACGCGTTGCCAGTGTTACAAAACCGGAAACTGAGCTACGTCTGCAAAAGAAGCAGCCAATCAAGAGAAGAGCTGCACATGTAGCCTAGCAGTTTATCACTTTGTACACTAGGTGTCCCTAAAGGGCAAATAATCAAAAGTATTGCGACACTGACACGATAACTATATTTATTTTGTCCATTATGTCAATTATAAGTTTTAAATAATGAACGCTTTGCTCTTGTTCCGCGGTGCTTCAAGGGGAGCCCTCGGGAAATCTGTAAATTCACTCAGCTGTAACCATAAAGTAGCCTAGTCTATAAACCAACCTCTGTTCATGAGTAAAGAAGTGCGCAGGGAAAATTAAGTCTGCTAAAAAAAGATGTGCAGGTTTGTGCCCTTCATTTGATTTGAATGGTCTTCATGGTTCGGATGTTGGTGACAAAATGGGCATCAAGTAGAACTACAAATGACCTGCCAACAAGCTCACTGACGGTAGAGCGTTCATTATACCACGTTTCGACGACGTGGGAGCCAGCAGCTCATCGTAGCTCGCCGTGATCGTATAGTGGTTAGTACTCTGCGTTGTGGCCGCAGCAACCCCGGTTCGAATCCGGGTCACGGCATTGCGAGACAATGTCACGGCAGATGAGTTGCATTTTGAAAAGTTGCTTCAACATATTGATTGCTGTAATGACGAAATGATCTCATGGTGTAGTTTACGATGGTATTTAAACTTTTTTTCTACATTAGATAGCATTAGGAACAACACCGTATTATGGCTTTTATTAGTATTGACTATTATGTCGGCGCTTGGAGTCCACAAGAAGGTAAATGAAAAAGGCAGATATCAAACAATGTTAGAAGCAAACTTTCAAACTGGGTGAAGAGATTACAACACACTGTGCACTGTAGATGTCTCCCTGATAGCATATGGCCTGACAAATAGAGCTTCATCGAAAATTAAACCTTGGCAATATCTCACAAGTTAATAATGTTATATTATATTTACCAAATCCACTTTGTGCAATAACGTGTTGTACTTTATGTGCACTGTGTTACACGGAATATTCTGACTACATCTTTGTCAAAACTGCAGCTCAGCTGATCTATTTTTTTTTTTTTAAATCTATTTAAATTGTACTGTGTTTACTTTCTTGTTTGCAATCTTTGCTCTTTGCTGCTGTAACACTGTAAATTTCCCCGTTGTGGGATAAATAAAGGATTATCTTATTTTAAAGTGTTCAAGTGAACATTGATCGAGTGGAACTTTTTTCTACTTTGGTCTTACCTAGTTAGGAGTTGTCCAGCATGAGGTATAGGGTACACTCATAGGGTACACTACAGTGACTTACTCAAGGACTGGAGGGCAGAAGAAGTCATGAATTGGCTCTGAGCCTCAGCTGCCAAATTAATAAAAGGTTTAAAACGGACAATTATGCTAGTTTGTTTTAAAAACGAGAATTGTCTTCGTTATTAAAAGCTAATACGCTACATCATAAAAACATAGGCCCTACACTTTCACTGTATAATAGCGTAGGCCTTTGATAAAACACACTTTTGGACAAAAGATTGTAAATATCAGGGTTTGGTCAGGCTGACTCATTGCAACAATAAACAGCCCACTGAGTTAGAGTGTAAGTCACACCGCATGTGGACGCCAGTGGAGCCAGCAGCTCATCGTAGCTCGCCGTGATCGTATAGTGGTTAGTACTCTGCGTTGTGGCCGCAGCAACCCCGGTTCGAATCCGGGTCACGGCATTGCGAGACAATGTCACGGCAGATTAGTTGCATTTTGAAAAGTTACTTCAACATATTGATTGCTGTAATAACAAAATGAGCTCATGGGGTAGTTTACAAGGGCATTCTATTTTAGCTTTGTTTCTACATTTGGAGCGTATGAACAACACCGTATTATGTTTTGTTTTTTTAGCATTGACTATTGATTGCAATTGGATGACAAGCAGGCAAAGATGACTGAAGCACGTTTTGTTATAAACATTGACAAGGGAACCCAGAACATTTTGAGTTTGATTGTTGAACTCTTATCAGATTCAGCCAGCTCAGTGTACCTTTCCCTCTCTGATGTCTCGCCTACTTGTTTTGGTTTATTTGGATCAGTTATTCTATGACAGTAAGTGTAGAACAAGGCCTAGGCCTACTTTTAGGAGCACATCTGGTGAACCTTAACAAAATAGAGTTTAAGTTAGATGATGTTTACTGTATGGACTTTGTTTGCTTAAAGTCTCCTGTTACACTTTTAACATTGTATGTCATTTTGGAGATGTCATTTTGGTTACACATCAAAGTTAAATCATGCATTATTTTTTCTTAGTGTATGGGAATTATTAATGTTTTGGCTAAACTTCCTTCCCTGAAGACCTCACGTTTATCTATTTCTCCTATTTTACATCCTGCATCCATCTTGATAAGCACATGTAGGTGGTGGAGTTTAACATATTTGTAGCCTATACATAAAACTGTTTATTTTTCCCTTTGTTGTGATGCTTTAATGTTTTGTGTGAAGCACTTTGAATCACCTTGTTGCTGAAATTTGCTATATAAATAATCCTGCCTTGCCTTGCCATAATTTCTGTAAGCAGTCAGGCGAGTTATGTGTAAGCAGAAGGTTATATGCAGGAAAATTTCACAGCAAGCCTGCAGGGATTATGACCATTATGTTGTGCAACCGGTGCGATTTTTTTGCAGGCAGTGAAACTGCTTTATGTTTCTGCTTGTAATGTTCTTTACCACTCACTGGTTGGTACTGTGAATATGTTCAATAACACCTGTCACTGATATAAAGGCAACATTTTTTAGTTTAGCATCAAACTCTGTTGCTTTGTCAGCCACTTCTGATTTGTCCTTTTTGCGTAATGCTCTGTCTGCTATGCCCACCACCCTCCCATCCTACAGAGACTGAACATTGATCAAGTGGAACTTTTTTTTCTTAGGCTACTTTGGGTTTAGTTATCCAACATGAGGTATAGGGTTCTGCTCATGGACTGAAGGGCAGATGAAGTCAAGAATTGGCTCTGAGCTTCAGCTGCCAAATTAATAAATAGTTTATTTTAAAAACGAGAATTGTCTTCCTTGTTAACCCATTGATACACAAGCTATGCCTACCCCCCCTAATGCACAACATGGGTCAAAATGACCCGCATTCATTCCCTATGTTATTTCATGCATGGCGGAGAGTATTCTTTGCTATAATTTTTAAGTGAATGTATTTGATCATAATCCAGGTATTCATTAAATATCTGGATTTTGATTAACACAAATCATTATTTTTATTCTTGTTTTCTGACTTCATGAAGAAAAATAGTTTTTGTATCATTTCATCGAGTTTACATACATGGGTCAAAAATGACACGTGTAAGACATATTAAAATGATAATGTTGTTAAATTAATTATTTGAGCAGGGATTTGTCTCACACAATAGTACAGTTAATGTTTGAAATATGTTTATTTGTCACTTTGTCACACATAACAAACAATATCACTGTTATTGAACTGCCCTCCTGTCTGATGTCTCCTGTGGCTGGGTAGTGACTTTGTTTAGTTGTTTTAGCCCACATTTTCCCATTGACTCTGTGATATGCTTTTGGAGATGGGGCCTACCCTCCATGCGTCTCTTAATGTGTATATGACCAGCTTTGCCAGGATCCTTCATGAATAGCTGCCGTGCATTGGTCACACCACCCATGTATGAAGGGTGTTGAGCAGTGAAGCACCAGCCATCTTTGTGATCTCCACATACACACGTACCACCTGATCCATTGAGTCCACTTCTTTTGTTACAGTGCTGGATCACTTCCAGTTTCTTCTTCACACTGTTGTCATCCACTGCTTTGTTATCAAGCATGGTGCTCAGGGGGACAACAGCCGTTACCTTCTTAGGCACATAGCTAGCTGAGCACGGTCATGCTGCCATTGAATCCAAATTCTGAGCTTGTCTGTCCTTTAGGATGATTTCATGACAGGCTGTATGTCTGGCTTGTTCTGGCAAAGAGATCCCAACAATAGGCAAAGTTGGCGTCGGGTCAGAGTTAGGGCAGGTTGCCTGTCGGGGGAAATAATCCTTTCCCCCAGCCAGTAATAATACAAACGCACAGATTTTAAACTCTAATTCTAGCGTTTACAAGCTGTCATGTCACACACTGATACATTACTCTCAATTGACAAAGAAATACTGTATTGGAATTGTTGTCCAATACGGTTTAAAAATCTGGACAATGATCCAGCTGAACGCCCTGAATTCCCAGATATCTTTTTCTAACTGGTTGAATCACCCAAAAAAAAGACAAAATCACATGTTATGGATATGATCAATTACACTTAAAATATCAGTTACACTGTACCAGAAAATCATTAACACTGAATAAAATAGCATGTTTTAGTTAATCCCATGCAACTGCTCATTAGGCTAGATTGGATATTCGGTAACTGTTGAAAAATGTGTTGTGAAGAAAGCTTAGTTTGCAAAATGTGTATTTCACTTGCCTTTTAACTAATAACCCTACCTACATGGTCCCATTGAAAAATCTAACACTGTTTAGATAAGGTGAAAATAACAGTAGTTAACCTGCAGTGCTGCAGTGCTGACATAGACCTACAGGTGTTTGAATTTTATCCCACTGGCGACTAAGCTCGTCCTCCAGCTTCCCATCTCTCCTATCTGGCTCTGTGCTTCGGTTGGGTAAAATATGAAACCTTAGATTTTGATTTCTCAGTTTATTTGTAGTGACAAAGGGCACACAGCAGCCCTTCAGCATTGTGTCTAGTGGTTTGGTACCCCCTCAGTGTGAAACGGACGTGACGTTTTCTGGGCTTTCCCCTTGACGCGTCTGTATCTGGTCAGGTTCTTCTGAAGTAGCTTCTCAGGCAGAGGGACACAGGTGAAGATCGTGACCATAGTGATGTTGCGACCTGATTGGAAATAAAACTGAAAAAAGGTCAATTTACTCAACCATTCTTGCACTAAAATAAACTGAGTGCATTATGTATTGTATTGTATTCTAATTGCATATTACTCTTTTGCTTTTAAATAAATAGGCCTACATTTCTCACCATGGTATTTGAAAATAAAATACACACTATGAAAGGTAGGAAAAATGTCAACAGCTAGCTATCTGATATTATTGGACATATTTCTCTTTCTCACTATTAATGGATGTCAATGTAACCTTAACCTAATGTTCAAATATTAAGTAGAGTTATCTTTCACAAGATATCAACTATTTTCTTTGGTCAAATTGTAAAATGAAATTTACATGCATCAGATGTTCAAAAGCAGCCGTGTTGAGTTGTGAAATGTGTGGCAGGTGAATAGTAGTCCACAGTAAATAGGTTCCTAAGTGCATATTTTTCCAAATATCAAAAGTTCCTATCAAATTCCATAGTGAATACATACGGGTAATTTCTGACCCATGTGTGTAAAATTGAGGAGAAAATATAAAAACTATATTTCTTCATAAAGTATGAGAGGAAAAATTACAGTAATGATTCATGGTAATCACTAACAAGATATTGAATGAATACCAACTATAATTTTTAAATAAATGTATTTTTAAAATGTAATATTCCAAAGAAACACTCAGCCATGCATGAAATCACATAGGGAATGAATATGGGTCATTTTTGACCCAGGTTGTGCATTATAGCGGTAGTGAAGTGATACAAAAACGATTTTTATTCAAAAAGTAAAAATCAAAATAAGGATTTGTGATGATCAAAAACAGCTTAATTGAGGGATACCTAGAATACTGAACGATGAACGATGAAATTAATTTTTGGCAAAGATACTCCACCGGGTCACCTTTGGCCCATGTTGTGCATCAAAATGTTAAAAGCTAATAGGTTACATCATAAAAACATAGACCCCACTTTCACTGTACAACAGCGTATACGGTAAAACACATGTTTGGACAAAAGATTGTAAATATCAGGGTTTGGTCAGGCTGACTCAACAACCCCCTGAGGGTAGAGTGTAAGTCACACCGCTTTTACACGCGGTTAAAGCCAGCAGCTCATCGTAGCTCGCCGTGATCGTATAGTGGTTAGTACTCTGCGTTGTGGCCGCAGCAACCCCGGTTCGAATCCGGGTCACGGCATTGCGAGACAATGTCACGGCAGATGAGTTGCATTTTTAAACGTTACTTCAACATATTGATTGCTGTAATGAACAATGATCTCATAGGGTAGTTTACAAGAGTATGCTATTTTAGCTTTGTTTCTACATTTGGAGCGTATGAACAAGACCGTATTATGGCTTTTTATTGACTATTGAGGGGAATTGGATGACAAAGATGACTGAAGCACTGTTATAAACATGAACAAGAGAACCCAGATCACTCTGAGTTTGCAAAGGTTGGCCTTGTGTAACAGTCTCATGTGAAATCCAGCACAGTGTATCTTTCCCTGTCTGATGTCTGTTTTGGTTTATTTTGATCAGTTCTTCTCCAACATTTGGATGATGATGATGATGATAATTAATTTATTTTCGTGTCATGCACACAAAGTGTGTCATGCAACCCTCATGGGCTTATAAGACACCAAAGAATTCAGTTGCAGTGGTTCACATTTAAAAATCATAACATTACAAAGTTGCCGGCTCCTGTCAAAGTTCAGTCTTAAACAGTGTGTTCTGTCTTTTCCCCAGGCTTTACAAACAAAATCTGCTGTAACAAAAGTTCCTTTTTTAAAACACAACTCAAGTTTTTCATAATCGTCTAACCAAAAGAAATCAACATAATTTGAAGACATTCTTTAAAAAAGATCATCCCTGATGTCAGCATACATCGGGCAGTAAAACAGAAAGTGAATCTCGTTTTCAGTTTCTCCTAACTCACACAACAAACAAACTCGATCTTCCTCTGGGAGGGAATTAAACCTGCCTAAAGACAATGTTCCTGAACGTAGCTGAGCGCAGAGGGATCTTTGTCTTTTAGTTAAATTAAACTTAGCATAGGCTTCTACGCTGTAGCAATCCTTTATGAGACAGTATGTTCTTAGTTTTGGTTTGCACCATATAGCCATAGACCATTTCTTTTTGTACATTAGAAACATATTATTTTTTTATCTCCTGAATATCACAAGTTGAGTTATTTAGAAAAATAAAGGCGGTCATTTGGACAATAGACGCTAATATTACGGATTGGACAGGCTGACTTTCATGAAAACAACAAAGTCAATAACCCACCGAGGCGAGAGCGTTCATCATACCACGTTTGGAAGCAGTAAAAGCCAGCAGCTCATCGTAGCTCGCCGTGATCGTATAGTGGTTAGTACTCTGCGTTGTGGCCGCAGCAACCCCGGTTCGAATCCGGGTCACGGCATTGCGAGACAATGTCACGGCAGATGAGTTGCATTTTTAACCTTGTAGTATAAATCTCATTATTTTCTGGTAAATGAGCTAAACTTGAAGATATCATTTAGACAATAAACAAAACAAAGAAAACGATGGCTCTGTTTTACACTGAAGCTTTCCCACCCTGCTTGATTGTTTTTGCTATAAATCACCACAAGAGCGAGACGAAGTCACGAAGCTGAAACTCAACCACAAGAAATACATTCTGACTGCAGCTACAGACCCATTTCTATTTGTATTTTTTTTTTACACCATTCTACATTAAAGAAAAGAGCTGCTCCCGTGTCGATTTGAGGCGAATAGGCCTATAAGCTACCCTACAAGTTGTTTTCTTTCTAAATTTCGTTAGTTTTGAAGTAAAAAAAGGAGGCTACAACTGTTAGGCTTATGACTCCGAACAAACTTACTCTGGTTAAACGATGTAGCCTAGCGGTAAAACGCATAAAGTTGTCAAATCCATCCTCAAGTTACATGTGAAAATATTTTGACGTAGTCGTACCATAGACTGTAGTCGTACAGGATTCCAAAACAGGAAATAAACTTGTGGAGGGTGAATGTGGTGCTGCCTTCAAGTTCCCGTGGAAATATCGTGGTAAAACCAAAAGCACGTTCCACAAAAGTCGTGAAATGGGAAAATAGGCTGTGGCTAATGTTTTAGCCTGCTACACAGATGTCCCATTGAGATATAAACTTTTTTTTTTTTTTTGAAGAATATTAAGACATATGGGAGCTTCGTAATGCTCGGAATTAAGTTAGCTTTTAACTTCTGAATGTAGGCTAGCAAGCTTTAATTTCAAACTGTATCGTTTCAGTTATGTTGGAATAACCTGCCACTATTTTACTTGTGATACCTGAGCCACCCACTGGATTATTATTCCCAACCATGTGCCTGCAGTCACGACCAACACAGCAGCCTATCGGAATTTCGGCCCCTGTCGTTCATTCTGTGAAGGCAGCATCTCAGCAATTGCGCTGTTGGCTGACAGACACGTCACTCACCACCCTGAGCCCGCCCAGCAGCATTACAGCGGCATGGCAACGGGAAGGAGACGGGGAGGTGGGGGGGGGAAGGTGTGGTGAGGGGTGACAGTCTGACCGGACCAGAGAGAAAGCAGCAGTAGCACTATTTCCATTGCTCGTTGACTCTTCTAACACTCAGTGTGGCTTTACCTGGGACACACTGACTAAACGATGCACCACCGCCGCCACTTCGCACTGACGCTGTTGCCGTTAACCAGGTGTTGGACCACAGAGCAGGGACGTCGTTAACGTCACACAGGATCAAACTTGTATGCATGTTCAGTCTCCCGGTCCCACACGCAGACGATCGAGAAGATGCTGAGCCGACTGATGAGCAGCAGCATCAGGAGTCTGGACAGGGAATGCAACTGCACCGTGAGGCTGCTGGACGACTCGGAGTACACCTGCACGATTCAGGTCAGTGGGGACCAGCATGCCCCTTGTCTCAATTCACCTTGTTGTGGAGGTCGTGTTTGTGGATGCTGGGTGGTCAGCAGGCTAAATGACTGGTCTCTCTCATTCCCTGCGACTCAGATTTAATATTCTGGTGTCATCTCTCATCTATTCAATACAGGCTATTGCATTTATTTGGGTGTCGATTTGTGGTTATTCCAGACGTCTGTCATCAATGGAATGCAGATGTTTCTTTCTTCAGAGACATTAACTAGTCTGTTTTATGCAGGGTGCATGTGGTATGTGCAAAAATTCAATTACTACAGGCCAAATAGTTTTTTTTTTTTTTTTTTTAAAATTTAAAGCAGATGATGTCACATAAACTATCCAAAAGCTGCTGGTTATCATTAGAGTAGCTTTATGCATGCATTGCTTTGGATGCATTATGAAACAAATCTGTATAATCTGATCAAGAACGATTTCAGTGAGGGCTCAGAGAATATCTCTGGAAAGGCAGAGGCACAAGAGGGTTGGGTCTATAATCAGCAGAGGCTTATTGTTCTGATTCATATTCATCTATAGGGGGTTGGTTTATCGTGATATGCTGTAACAAAGTAGATGTCATAACCTCCGTTTGCCCTTCAGATTGACCCCTCAGTAAAACATGGAGTACCACTTTGCTATGTTTTTTGGACCATCAGGGAGCAGAATCTGTCCAGTAGGGATGCCCATCTCAGGATTCTGTAAGTCAAATCAAATTTGACTCTTAAGTACAAAACTTTTAACATTTTTTTTTTTTTTTTTTTGCTATTTTTTCAAACTCCATTTTTAGGCCTACAGGAGAGGAATACAATTTTTTATTAGATCTGTGCAGCTGTCGGACAGATTTCTGACATCTCAAGATGACGACATTCTTAGAGTTTCAGCTCAAGACATGTGTCATTTTTTCTAAGTTGGTGATGAAGGACTTTTAGCCAGAAGGCTAAAGTTAGCAGCAGCTAGAGTTAGAGTTCACAAATTGCCGCCAAAAGCAGGTGAGACGGATATTTAACGCAACACAGCTTTTAGTGATTTTATAGGGTCTCTTCACAATGTCACTTTTTTGGAGATGAGGGAACCTCTGCAGGTAATTTGCTTTCTGGTAAAAAACAATGAATGATGAATGCTAAAAAGACATTTTGTGACAAAGTCAGCCAAACAAAGAAAGTGCTGAAATGTAAATGATAAAATGTTATTTGACCTTTGGCAATACCAAACGGATCCAAATATATATAGAAGCATAAAGATTTCAAGCAGTGTGACATTTATTTGAGGCAATCAGGGATTTCCTCTTCCAAAATCTATCTTTTTTTATTAGTTTGTTAGACATGAGTTACCAAAACACACTGTGCAAAGCTCTCCCGCACCATTAAAGACAGCCGTAGAGAACAAAACAAACATTTTTGTTCCTTCTCCAGAATACATTTTCTAAAGCTAAATGTTGGAAATATTTCAAACAAAGCAAAGTCTTAACGTCTTGTAACTTTGTGGTAATTTGTTTCACCTCTAATACCGGTCTGTCATGACTTTTTTTTGTTGTGGATTCAGAGGCAGAAAAGCATTGATCCGACTTCATGTTTACTTCCGAGCCTGTATTCTGTGGTGCTGCGGTGAGGACTGAGGTAGAATTTATTGGCGGTGGATATCATTGCTGTGTGCTGTTTTCTTGTAACTGCTCAGTCTTTCACTCAGTGGGTCCTTTACAGACTTGTATGAAGCATTTCTCTTTCTTTTTACTGGCACGTTGACTTGGCTTAACGAATCAATAGCTGTATTGACTTGCAGTTAAAGGTGTGACATGACGAGTCAGTGGCCATGCTGCGAGGAGTTTGTAAGCATAGAGCGAGCAACTGATGTCGGTTACCTTATTTGTTTATGCAGTGTGTAAGTGTGTGTGTTTGTGTGAGTATCTCTGTTACGTCTTTCATGCGTCTGCATCATTGAGAGTCTCACCTGGTGGCCTGAGCTGCGTTTGATGCTTGTTACTCAAAGGGATTCCACTGCTAGAGAATTAGAGACGACAGCACACAAACACCATCACCACCTGTTCATTTGCAGGATCTGACGGCAAAGCAAGCCTTTTCAGCGTCTGACTACTTGAAGTGGAGAAAGATGAAGTGGGTTAGTCTACATTCTGTCGGTCTCAAATGAATATATGGCCAATAAGTGGGAAGGCCATGGTTGTTTTACTAGGATTTAAGACTGTAGTGATGTTTAGTGTGCACACCAGTCAGATGGTTGTGGTTGTCACATCCAGGCTGTCCTCTTAGCCCCTCTACAACTTTCAAATTTAATTTCAATCTTTCACAAGCAGATCACTTTATAACGCTCTGCCTTTGATGTTTTTTGGATGACTTGTGTTCACAGCTTGTTCCTCTTTTGACTTCTGAGCATGCTGCTCTTTTGCCCTGTCATGATCCAAAGCTGTCAAGATGTGCTGATTCCACCTTTTAAAAAAAAACTGAAACCCACAGAATTGACAGAATGCTGAGTTCCTAGTAGAGGGATTAGCTTTGATTGACATTTTTCATTGTTTCCACTCTGGGAAACATTGAATCATGTCTTTATTTCACAGTATAGGACTCTTGATGAACACAACTATTCCAAATGCAAACATAAATATGATCATTAGCTTAATCAATCATCTATTGTTTTCTACAACAACAGCATCATCATTTATTTTCCAGTGTTGGAACTTGAAAACACAAAATTTAGAGGGCTGTGTTAAATATGTTTTGCAAAAATAGTCTGTGAAGCTGAATAAGCAAAGGTGATTATATAATTAATTGTTTGCATAGAGGACATCACCGTGATGTCTCAGGAGAATGAAAATGGGATCAGGAAGATGCTGCCCTTTCCTGGAGATGTGGCCCAGAATAAAGGGGCTTGTGGGGCTCAACAGCGGTCACACATTCCATTTAGCTCACTTAGCCTTCACCTTGATTTTACACATATGACCTTCATCAGTGTGAAATGAGCTCAGCTGTAAGGTGGCTAGGAAGTGCTAGCAAACATGACAAAGAGTGAAACACTTTTACACAGCCTGATACAAATGTTACATTTTGGAAAACATTGTTAAGATAAGATAAGATGGTAAATGGGACTTAAGCTTCTGTAGCACTTTTCTAGTCCTATGACTATTCAAAGTGCTTTTACACCACAGGTCACACCTACCTATTCACACCCATTCACACAATGATGGCCGAGGTTTCTATGCAAAGTGACCATCAGAAGTAACTAATCCCATTCACATGCCACTTGGGGTTAAGTGTCTCACCCAAGGACACATCGGACATGTGGTTGCAGGTGCTGGGGATGGAAACCAGATAAGATAAACCTTTATTCTTCCCACAACAGAGAAATATACAGTGTTACAACAGCAAAGAGAAAGGACAGCCAAAAGAAGAGCACACATTGCACAATTAAATAAAGAATAAAACTTGTTTTCTGTACATTTTACAAAACAAAATTGCATACATAAAACACTTTTTCCCATCCTGAAACAAATGTACAAACGGCCTAATCTTGCCGGAAGGTGATTGTACCAAATGCCTGAAGTGACCCAGAAGTTATTGAGGGAGCACAGTGAGCTTCCGTTCCTTCAAAAATTCCAGAGACCGCCAACACGAAAAGCAAAATCGCAATAACTGTCTCAGGTTCCACAGCACGTGCAAAAAATAGATTTGATCAGCATGAACTCCATATAACACATTTCACACAGTCTTTCCACCAAAACAAACATATTGACCGCTCACTCAATCACTTCTGGGTCACTAGGGCATTTGTTTCATTCCCTTTCAGACAAGCAAGATTTTACTTTTATACATTTTGTTTTGCACTTCCCAGCCGCTATAATGACAGGTAGAAATGAAGCAAACAAGTCATTTGTTGACTATATGACCCATCCTCAGACCACCAAATGTGGCAAGTTTATCTCATGTACCAGCTTCATTAACATTCCACCACCACATTCTCCTATTTTACCTCACTACATGTCCTTTGCCACTGATGACATTGGTGCTGATTACTCTGTGACCCTGGAAGCAAGTAGAGACTCATGTTCATTGATTTTCCTTTTCCTTCAGCACCAATTATCCATGAATGATACTCACGTGCTTCTCGCATACAGGACACAACCAAATCTATTAATGCCTCAATTCAGGATTAGTACTCGAGGCTATTACTTCTGGAAGTCATATTTGGCAGAAGGTTGATTGAAGGAGAGTCTTAGGTGACCTCTTGGAGGCCTCAGGCAGCAAGGAAATACTTGGGTGAGGTGCAGGACAGAAGGGACCAGATGGAGGCTATTATCAACCATGATGTTGGTGGTGATCACAAAAATGTAATAAAATTGGAACCCTCCATCAAGTAACAGAGAGCGTGCAGCCACACTAAATACGTCCTGACAATAATAGCCGATTCTTTCAGATAAAATGTTGACCTATATTGAACATGGTTGGAGCGGGACCTTCTTCTTAGTACTTCAGATTTAACGCCAGCCAATTAACCATACACTTCTCCTTGGGAGATTACTTTTTATTTTGAAATTGATAATTCAAGAACAACACACAAGGATTTTTTTTGGTGTATATTTATTTTGGCAGTTATTTTGTATATATTTTATATCTGAATTAGTTTTGAAGTAAGGCTGTGCAATTGATGGAAAATTAATCGAAACCAACATTCAGAACCTCTAACCGACGTAATCTTGCCCATGTTGATATTTCAATTATTTCAGGGCAGAGGGACGTGACGACTCGCCCAATCCGCAACATGGAAGCAATGTCCGTCGTTTGGACGACACCGGGAAGACGACACAGAACAAAAAGATTTCAAATGTAAACACTGCAGAGAAACTGTTTGCAAGAAATGCAAGTTATTTACTGTTTTAGAGAAGTTGATTTCTACTTTAAAACGAAAATGTGTCGTTTTCATTTCAAGCGATGCTTTGATTTCAGTTCAAAATATTCAATAAATAACCACAT